TTTTCACAAACTTTTTGAAGTACCCTGGAATACCATTTTTTTCCTCTCTGAAAAAAAAAATTTCTAACATATCTTGCAAATCAGGTCTAGTGGCAACAAATTCCCTCAATTTTTGCTTCTCTGAGAAATCCTTATTTTTGCTTCAGTTTTAAAGAATAATTTCACAGGGTACAGAATTCTAGGTTGGTGGGTTTTTCCTCTCAACAATTTAAATATTTTACTTCACTTTCTTCCTTCTTGCTTGTGTGGTTTATGAGAAAAAGTCTAATGTAATTGTTATTTTTATTCATCTATAGATGTAGGTAATAAGAAATTATTATTCAGCTCATTTTATTTTCATATTATTTTATTCATCTATAGACATAGGTAATAAGAAATTATTTCCCTCTGGATTCTTTCAGGATTTTTTCTTTACCTTCAGTTTTCTATAGTTTAAAAATTATATGCTTAGGTATAGTTTTTTTAGCATTTATCCTGCTTGATATTCTCTGACTTTCCTGTATCTATGTTTTGATGATGAACATTAATTTGGGAAAATTTTCAGTCATTACTGTTTGAAATATTTCTGTTTTCTTCTTCTCCTTCTGCTATTGCCATCATGGATGAGTTATACCTTTTGTAGTTGTCCTACGGTTCTTGAATATTCTGTTCTTTGTTAGTTTGTTTTAGCTGCTTTTCTCTTGTTTTTCAGTTTTGGAAGTTCCTATCATCATATCTCAAGTTTAGAGACTCTTTCCTCAGCTGTGCTCAGTTTACTAACACGCCCATTGAAGGCATTCTTCATTTCTGTTGCAACGTTTTTGATCTGTACCACTTCTTTTTGATTTTTTTCTTAGAATTTTCATCTCTCTGCTTACATTATCCATACGTTCTTGCATGTTGTCTACTTTTGCCATTAAATCCTAAGGCACATCAATCACAGTTTCTTTTTAATTCCCTTGTCTGATAATTCCAACATCCCTCCTATATCTTAATCAGGGTTCTGATGTTTATTTGGTCTCTTTGAACTGTGTATTTTGCCTTTTAATAGGTTTTGTGATTTTTGTTGATAGGCAGATATGATGTACTGGGTAAAGGGAACTGCAGTAAATAGGTCTTTAGTAATGTAGGAGTAAGGTATGTGGGGAGGAGAAGTGTTCATGGAACTGTTCATGGAGTAATGAATTATCATAGGTATGCACCGGTGGCTTTATAAGTAGAGCACATGAATAAGCTCATAACGCTCTTGCCATGTGATTGCCTGGGTCACCACAGCACTCTGTAGAAAGCTCCCACCCAGAAGAAGGCCCTCATCAGATGTGACCCCTGGACTGTGGATGTTCCAGCCTTTAAAACTGTAAAAAATAAATTTCATTTCTTCATAAATTACCAAACTTCAGGTATTCTGTTATAAGCAACAGAAAACAAACTAATACATCCTGGCACCTCACATGAGCCTTTCTCAAGAAATTATATGTATATTCATGCTGGTGGACCTGGTCCTAATAGCAATTAAGTCATATTTCTGAAATATATGAGGACAAACTTTAGGGTTCATTCAGGCTGCCATAACAAAATACTGTAAACTGTGTAGCTTGTAAAAATAGAAATTTATTTCTCACAATTCCAGAGGCTTGAAAGTCCAAGATCAAGGTATCAGCAGATACAGTGTCTGGTGGGAGTCTGCTCTCTGGCTCAAGGATGGCATCTTCCTGCTATGTCCTCACATGGTGGAAGGGATGAGGGGTCTCTCTTGGGTTTCTTTAATAAAGGCACTAATTTAATTTAATTTAATATAATTTAATAAGGGCCCATTCATGACAGCTTTATCATCATGACCTTATCGCCTCCCAAAGGCCCCACCTCCTTAAAACATCACCTTTGGGGATAGAATTTCAACATATGTATTTTAAGAGGACACAAAACTTCAGACTATAGCATGGTTTAAATATACTCAAGTGGCAATTTTGTAAAATTCACACTAAAAAAGAAATGCGTTTATTATTTTTAGACATTGCATATATTAGGCACTAACTATCTATTTATTAAATTGAGTTTTTAAAATTTAATGTAATGTTCCATGTTTCAGAAATTTAAAGTTTTGCTAATATGCACTTTAAAACAATCAAGAAAAGCAAAGAAACATCTTTGAATAAATGTAAACACCATGTATACAACATATTAATAAAACTGTTTCTCACTTTAATGCAGTTTACTTTTCAAAATTTAATTGCATGTGCTTTTACTTATTTTACATTTATCTCACTAATTGTGTTTTATGATAGTTATCATAACAAGTGGAAAAAGAGATAGTGAAAGAAAAAACTTATAGAATTTTGCAACCAAAACACCAGAGTACTAGTATAGTTTAAATCTTTCATCAGGATGCTACTTTCAGGATTTATCCATAGGATGAGCAGGCAAGGAAGGCTTTGGGGGGGCGGGATAGAGGAAAGCCATTAGAGACTATTCCCAAGGAGCTTTGCTTTTAACTTTAGTAATCTGTCTAGAGATCTTCAGAACACTCTTCTCACATTCAAGGCTTGAATTAAAGTCTATTTATCTGTTCGCAAGAACCTGCACTGACAGGCCATTGTAATTTTGCCACTTGTGTGAGAAGGAAGAATGAAACTAATAACACTTTTGTGTTGTGAGGTGGACCTGGGTGATCCATTAGTGCTAATCCAGTCCCTGCACAGGCACTGCTGAGGGTATAAATATAGGACCCATGAAAAAGTCACCATGAAAGAAACCAAACCAGTCTGCATGGTTTACAACATTGCTAAATTATTTCTTGGCTTTTTATGCTTTAAGGATTTCCTTATTTATAAATAAAATCACAAATATATACAAACACATGTATAAATATAAAATTTTAATTTCAATTAATTCAAGTGAATAGCTAGGTAACTAAATAAACAAAAAGTTTCCTTATTCACAACACTTCTAACATCAAATGGGTGGGTTTTCTACACCAGATAATTCTCCAGTTCTCTACAGACACCAAATGGATGTCTAATTAATTTAATTCAATTGTGACACTAACTGCATGGAGCTATTGCAGACCCCACAAGTTAAGAGCTCAGTCCAACAAAACTTCCCACCACTATGGATGCCAATCACAAGCAGTGACTCCTCAAGTTACCCATATTTTTGCCCAACTTAGCTACAAATCGGGGGTTCCTGTGACCCCTTCCACAAGTTCAATAATTTGCTATAACTGCTCACAGAACTCAGGGAAACACTTTACTTACTATTAGCAGTTTATTATAAAGGATACAGCAAGATGAAGAAGTACATAGGGTAAGGTCTGGAAGGGTTCTGGAAGGGGCCTCTGTTCCCATGGGGTTTGGGGTGTGTCACACTCCCAACAGGTGAATGTGTTCACCAACCCAGAACTCTCAAAACCCCTTTCTGGGTTTTATGGAGGCTCCATTATGTAGGCAAGATTGATTAAATTAATTGATCATTGGTGATTAACTTAATCTTCTGCCCTTCTTTACTCCCAGGAAATGGGGCTGAAAGTTTCAACCCTCTAATCACATGGTTGGTTCCCCCGACAACCAGCAGCTCCCTTCCTACAAGAGTCCCCTCACTAGTAAACTAAGGCATGGTTGAAAGGTGCTTATTATGAGTAACAAAAGATGCTCCTCTCAACCCTATCATTCAGGAAATCACAAGAGTTTCAGGAGCTCTCTGCCAGGAACTGGACAGAGGGCAAATACAGATTTCTTGCTATGTCACAGTGAGCTTGGCAAATTACTTATTTCTTATACCTCAATTTCTTTATCTATCTGTACTATCTCACAATGTAGCTGATTTAATTTAATGAGTTAGTGTAAGTGCTAAACACAGTTCCTAGCACATAATAGATACCATATAAAAGTTAGCTATTATCACCCTGCTAAAGCTCACAGCCAGTGTATAAAAAGTATTGGTTTATATATGTCTTCTCTAGGCAGGAGCTTCTAGAGGATAAGGATCATTAATTCAACATAATTACTGTGACATGCTGTGTACCCTGAGCTGCTCCAAGGTTACACCAGTGAACAAGCCAAACACCACATTCTAGTCATCCCTGTACATGCACTGATTAGCACAGTACCCAGCATAAAGCAGATGCTCAAAGTAGTGTGTCCTAAATAATGAGTAGCTAAATATATAAGAAAAATAATGTTGATGAGATGAATCATGCCCATTTAAGAATATTGACATAGGAAGTATAAAACCCTAAATATGTGTACTAAGTGATGTGTTGTCAAAATTAAATGTAGTTTGCAATTAACTACAAAATGTTTTTAAAGTAACTTAAAGAAGCTGAAGCACCCTATATATAATGCAGAAAGTAATAAGTAGAATAACCACATTATGAAACTAACATTTATAGAGCCCTAATGTATGTTAGGAACACTACTAAGAGCTTTCTATTAGTATTTGCTTTAGAGATAAAGTACTTCATGTAATCCTATTTTTAAAAAAGCCAGATAGGGATTATCAGACCCATTTTTAAATGATAAAATTGAAAATCAGTAAGTTAAGTGACACAGATTTGCTATTAAGTGGCAGATGTGTTTGTGATTCAAAGATCTGCTAACATGTGATTCAAATCTAACAGTTTTTGTCATCCTATACAAACTTCCTCACGGTACAAACTTAAAGAATTAGTTGTTTAAGGGTCAACATTAATGAGGTTACATTTCCATAAAAGAAACCTGACTCAGCATTTTTGCCTCATTCTCAATTAGGTGCGTATGACTTGCTTAATTGTGCATACCTTTTTAAATACTTAACATGTAAGACATTTTAACTCTATTATTAAGATTTCAGTAACTAATTCAATTAACTCACAAGTTAATTTTTTTTTCTGCTAGGTACAGTAACAAAATATATTTGAGTAAGAGAAAAAGGAAAGCAAGGCAGTTAACTACAAGAAGATTGCATGAAAGCTTTCAGAAGCAGAGCAAACAGTAAAAACTGGAAATTGATGTTAATTTTTAAGATTAAGTTTCAAGTTTAAGAAAATGAAGAAGGGGGCAAATATTCAGCTTCAACGAGTCATAGGATACTTCCATGGAACAATGTTTTTATTCAGTATCATCATAGGTGCAGGTATATTTATGGCTCCTAAAGGGGTGTTAAAATACTCCTCACTAAATGTGGGGGTCTCTCTAAGTATTTGGGCTGCTTGTGCCCTGGTGTCTATGATTGCAGCTCTCAGTTATGCAGAAATGGGGACCACCTTCCCCAGAAGTGGCGCACAGTATTATTTCCTCAAAAGATCTCTCGGACCCCTTATTGCTTTCTTCTACCTCTGGATCGGCCTGTTTAGTACCCCAGCAGGACTTGCTGCACGTGGCTTGTTACTAGCAGGATATATTGCACAGCCTTTCTATCCTGGATGTTCTGTTCCTGAGATGCCAAAGAAATGTTTAGCATTGGCCATTTTGTGGTGCCTAGGAATTCTGAATGCTCGGGGAGTGAAAGAGGTGGCTTGGTTTCAGACTGTCAGTACAGTCGTGAAAATGACAGTTCTCTGCTTTGTATCCGTTACTGGAATCGTGCTGTTGGTGAGAGGAAGAAAAGAGAATTTAGCCAGGTTTGAGAAAGCTTTCGATGCCGAAGTGCCAGATGCCTTGCAGATTGCAGAAGCCTTCCTCCAAGGATTATATGCGTACTCAGGCTGGGGAATCCTTGTTCAAATAGCAGGTAAAATTAGGGTTTTTTTAAATTATAAAATCCACCGCTAGACTATAAACACACAATGATCAAGCACATTAATTGTAAGAAAGAAATACTATTGTATATTATTTTGACATGCTGTGTTTCTCTTTCACTTAATAGAAGGGTGGAAATGCAATAAGCTCTCTACAAGTGCGGCCTTCCAACTGTGGAGGGAGGAATATTTTTCAGGTTGTTTCAATTAAAACAAGTTCACATAAAACTAGAGGAGCTTAAAAACTCCATGGCAGTTGCATTTTTTTCATCAGACAAATATTTTAACAGCCTGTTTTCTAACTATAATAGACCCTAAATAGAGAAAAAGAATTAAATACAGAAAATATATAAATGAAAATAAATATTACCTGTAGCTAGTCATCTAATATGTACACACATGTGGGGATCACACTGCATGTATAACCTTATAACTTCTTATTTTACTTAAAGTACAAGGGAACTCCAAAAAGTTCATGGAAAGATCCGTACTATCTTAATTTTATTCATCCACAGACTTTTTGAAGTACCCTCGTACATAGTGAGAATTTACAAATGTTATTCAATATAAATGGTTTTTAATGAAAACACAGTAATTGGCTATTATTTAACCATCTTCCCATTGTGGGTTCCTGGAGTCATTTCTAGTTTTTCTCTTTTAAATTTTAAACATATTGCTAAAATCATCATCATCCTATAAAAACCTTTGTTGCATCTCTCATTGCTTTATTAGAAAATAATCTTGAAGTAAAATTATTAGATAAAAGATATAAATATTTAGAAATATCTTGAGAAATATTATGAATTACCTTCCAGAAAGGCTCTACAAATAATACGTTTTAGGGTGAATCTAAATTACTACCCTTGGCAATTTCTCATTCTTTGGCCACTTACATTTGTGGATATAAAATCTCGGTGTTATATCTCACTTTTTTTCCAATTACTAAGGAGGGAAAAGAGTTTCGCAAATGTTCATGACCATTTTTATCTCTTCTTTGTAGGATTTTCCCAGTTTGTTCTTTGCTTTTTAATTTTTGCTTTTTAAAATTTTTAATCCAAGGAGTTAAAAGAGCGGGAGAACCTTACCAAATGTCCTAGAATATTGTGACCAGATTAACTCAGCTATTCTAACCCTTCATTAACACATAGTTACAATTCTACCATATTGGTCATAAGGTGTGGGAAGGTTAGTTCAAGTTATGGTCTAGAGTTCAAGGTTTCTGAGCTGTTCTCTTCTCATATAAGAGGCTCCTGTGGAGTATCTCAAGGATACAGCACTGAGACTCCAGAATTTAACACAATTCTGATACTGCTAGAATCAATAATTCACCAGAGACATGGTAAACATTCAACAAAAATGATCAAATGAGCTCTTGCTTACAGACTCATTTCTTGTTCTTCTTATACATTATAGTGAGTCCACTTTCAAAGAATGAGTGGCTTATTTGTTTTTTTATTATGTTTTATTTTTTATTTTTTGCAGGGGAGCTGAAAAACCCTAGTGAAAATATTCCCAAATGTGTGATTACTGCACTTACCCTTGTGGCACTGATCTACTTATTGGTCAACATTTCCTACCTAGCAGTCTTGACTCCAAAGGAAATCATGTTCTCAGGTATGGCTACATAGAACCAGAGAGAAGATACTCTTTTTCTTTTTCTCTTGCATAAAGGGAGTCTCTAAAACAGTGGGTCTTTTTGCATACCTTAAGAGAATTATGCTAAATTGGTTCATGTCTGTGTTATTTACTTATTTAAAAGCAAAGGTTTAAAAGGTCTAAGCAATCTTTAATTTTGAATATATACTAAAAGGTAAGGTCCAGCATCAGTAATATGGAAAGCACGAAGAACTGGAAAATAAGAACCAGAATGCAATGGACTAAATAGGATGAAATAAAAATATGAGAAGATTTATCAAAATCCCTTGGGACATACTCCTTAAAGACATCATGGGTGCTCTGGGTTAACATCTGCCACCAAGAAATGTAACTGATATGCTTTGTCTGCAGGCACATCCCCAAATCTATAGAGAATGGAGAGTTTGAGTATTTAACTTTGCCTATCACTTAATTATAAATTACTGCAATATGTATTACTGCAATATATATCTATATGTGTATAACTGCAGTTTACCATAAATTTTTCAAATTTTCAGAACTTGTTTTAATCACTACCTTATAAAGAAACTGAATTTTTTGCCCTAAAAATGGGACAATTAAAAAAGTTTCAATTGAACTTATCTAAACAAATATATTAAGAAAATGTAATTTTTACACTTTACATTTCCAGTTTTCACAAGGTCCTAAAGGTAAAGGAGAATCAGTAATACGGTTTTATTAAAAAGAAAAAGAATATGAAAGAAAGTAAGGTCTATACTACATCCAAGCTTGATGCTTCTGTTATCGCAACTCTAAAATTAAATGATAATATTTTATTATTTGCTCACCTCACACGTCAGTAGTGATAATCAAATGAGAAAATATATATGAAGGTACTCTTGAAATCGAAAAGCACAGATACATTCTGCTATGGAAAGAGCATAGCTTGATGAAAATAGCCCATATATTTAGAATTGCACAATCCAATTAGAAAATTACCTTTCAGATATAGCAGTTGTGTGTATTTGATAAAAATTCAATGACTTCTTTTATTGGTTATGAATAGTCATGAGATACAAAGCTGATTGTCACCCCTCGTGCCCAAGATCTGAAGGCCAGATACATACTGGCAGCATGCCCATTACTACAAATTGTAATTGTACCCCATGTTCCCCACCCAGTTATCCCCAACCTCCCTCCCCCTACCCCTTCCCCCACTCCACTTTGTCAATGACTTTTTATTTCAATTTTTGTGTCAGTAAAATAGAGAGAAAATAGTACCCTTCATATTGTGTAGGATTATTAAATAAGTTAGAATAAGAAAAAAAACATTTTACAGAATTTACAAAATCAAGTTGTGAGAGTGATAGTTGTTGAAATACAAAGAACAAAAATACTATTTAGTGATTTTAAACATCTAAAGAGGTGTGATATTTTCCACTGAAATTAGCCCTTTGTTGATAGAAAATAAAACCTCCTTCACTTCTCAGAGTTCATAGAGCAAAAAATCAGCAAGTAGTTATCTTCATAAAAGTTTTAGAAAAAACATAATTTCATATTAGTAGGCTCAGTTTGCAGCACAGGGCAAAGCCCCACAGAACTGTCTGTCTGCTCACTGTGTTAAATTCAGTAGGAAACACATAGGTAAGACTCTCATCTTTGCTAGCCTGAGTTTGTGATCCAAATTGGAGCCAATCGACAAACCAGCTAGTTTTTAATAAGAATGCCCTTGAAATAAGAGTGTCAGAGAGGGGCTGGGTAAACTCTTCACACATCCCTGGCTGACTGGGGAACTGCATACATTCAGGAAGAAAGGGGAAAAAAAAAAAAAAAAAAGCCGAGACTCGTTAAAAGTGCCTGAAATTTGAATAGGTTTTTCAAAACACACACACACACACACACACACACACACAGATAGATTGTGAAAAAACATAAGAGGTTTCAGCATACCCTCTGCCCAAATTATTGGCTGAGTGCTAAGCTAGGCAGCCACAGTAGCAATCCCTAGGAATCCAACCCTAAATATCAAGGTTAAGGATTAGGATCTGAGCAGATAGATACATCAGAATATTCCCATCATGTGGGAGATAGGATTTTTCAGTTACAAACAAAAACAAAAACAAAACACCTCAGGAATATCAAAAAATAATAGCTGGGAAATTATAAAAATTGAAGAAATTATTAATAAATCCAAGAAACTCAATGAACCCATGAAAAACACAGAAGCAAACATAGACTTATCAAGGCCAAACTGTGAGAGTCAAAGCAAAGACAAAGAGAAAACAGCAAGAGAAATACTACTCATTATGTACAAGGAAACTACACTACAATTAACAATTAACTTATTATATATTTTAAAAAGAAGAAAAAAGAAACAAACAAATGATGGAGGCCAGATCCAGTGGAGTGACAACGTGCTAAAAGGAAAAAACTATCAACCAAGAATTTGATATAAAGTGAAGCCAGCCTTCAGAAATGAAGGCAAAATAAAGATATTACCAGATAAACAAAAACAGAGATAATTTATTGCTAGCAGAACTGCCCTATAAAAAATACTAAAGGAAATTCTTCAGGCTGAAAAAAAACTAACTTGAATCAACAGGAAAGAAGACAGACCACTAGAAATAATAAATATGTGGGTAAATATAAAAAATCTTGTATGTGTATATACACATTTCTCTTTCTGCTTTTAATTTTTAAAAAATACCAAAGATTATTTAAGTCAAGTCCTAAAACTGAGGTGCAGACTTCAAAAAACACTTGTATATAGATAGAATATATATGCCAATAATAGCACAGAGGAAAGAGGAGGAAATGGGCTATATTGGAACCAAGTTGCTATATTTTTACTGGAATTAAGAAAAAATTAACTTGAAATTGATTTTGATTAATTTAAAGGTGTATGTTGTGATTACCAGACAAACCATAAAGAAAATAACTCAAGAAATATATAAAAAATCAATAGAGAAATTAAAATTGTCCATTAAAAATATAAGTTTAACACAAGGGAATGCAGTAAAGGAAGAGCAGAGGAACAGAAGAGACATAAGACATAGAAAATAAATAGCAATATGGCAGATATAAATACAATAATATCAATACTTATATTAAATGGGAATTTACTAAACACTTCAATAATAAGGCAGAGATTGTCAGACTGGATAATCAATCCAACTATATGCTGTCTAAATGAAACACACTTTATACTCAAAACGACAACTAGGTTGAAAGTAAAAGGATGGAAAAAAATATACAGGTAAACAACTGTAAGAGAGCTAGAAACTAATATTAATAAGAGACAAATAACTTTAAGACCAAAAAATTACTAGAGACAAACAAATACATTTCATAATGATAAAAGGATCAGTACATATAACATATAACATTTATATAGCAATTATAAATGCAAACACACCCAACTACAGAGCCCCAGGATACATGAAGGCAAACTTACATGACTAAAAGTAGGAATGAACAATTCAACAATTATAATTACAGATGTCAGTACAACACTCAATAACTAGATAGACAGAAAATTAGTGAGGATATAAACGATCTGAACAGCACTATCAATCAAATTGATCTAATTGACATTTACAGAATACTTCAAACAGAAACAGAACACACATTTACTTCAAGCACAAAATACAACATTCTTTAGGATAGATGATATGCTAGGATATAAAACAAGTCTCAAATAATTAGAAAAGATTAAAATCATATAAAGTATGTTCTTCATAATGGAATCAGATTGGAAATCAACAACAGAATGGAATTTGAGAAATTCCACATTTGTAAATTAAACAACATACTTTGAATAACCCATGGATCAAAGAAGAAATCACAAGATTCTCAAGAACTGTAAAGTGTCTGAGATTTAACCCTAATTGTAAGCTCACAAGTTAGCCTGGCACTGTTTCATGGATCCTGGCAGAAGGCACAATATCAGGGATAGAGACAAAGACAAATAATTATTTTTTTATTCTAGCAATAGCAGTAGCTAGACTGTCATTTTAATGCTGGTTTCCCAAACCTCAACTCCCACAGGACATGCAAAGAAGGCCAGGTGACACTTGCACGTGACAGTAGAGGAACCGCAATCTTAAGGAACCCACATCTTTTATAATGGGAAGTAATTCTTCCTGACCTTTGCCCTGAAGAAAGACATTATCTTAATTAACCGAACAGTAAACAAACTTGCCCTTTGCTCCAGATGGAAACGCTATATCTATTTCGCATGGCTGTTCACTGTACAACATCCTTGAAAATATAGGCTAGGACAAAGTCAGTCATTGTCTCTGCTCAGTAGATGTGCAGAAATGCAAAAAATCTAGGGACAATTTTCTCCCAGTAATATCCGCCATTCATTTCTACCCCTGGCTTCTGGTGAATTTTCCTGTGAGTAAGCCACTTCATCGGCCACTCTGATAAATCTGACTCACAGAGGCTATACCAAATATATTCATTTTTGTCTCACACAGCATCTAATTAAGGCTACTATTAACAAGATTCCAAGAGGCAGGATGAGGCAGTATTGACCTCAAACATGCCACACACACACACACCAACCAAATGAAAAAAAAAAAAAAAAAGTCCTGTAAACTATTAGGATCTACTTTAGAAAAGTAGACAGACAGCTTTCTTCTTAAGTGTCTAAATTAACCTTTCTATTTAACCTGAGACATTAATTCAGATACAACAGGGTGTATTAGTAACTGCACAGACTCTGCCTTGGCCTGCAAGAAGGAAGTCTAGGGTGATTCTATCATCCATAATAACCCTAGCCAGTAATGCCTTCCAGGAATGAAATAATGTCATTGATCACTTTACCTAAATTTAGGAATAAATTTCATACCGTGTTTTCTAATTAGATGACTCCCATTGTAGGAGAAACTGCTCATAGACAGCTATCCCTCTGGGAAGCTCCCCTAAGAAAGCAAAATAGTTTATTTTAGAGGCATCACTACAATCACCTGAGGGGTTACATGATCTACTGGTGATGTCTACTGAAATACTTGAAGGTGTCTTATGACCATCCCTAAGGTAAAGTCATTGTGTTTTTAGAAAGCACGCAAGTTAATTATGGTTATAGATCCCCAAAGGTAGAGAATTTATGACTGCTTGCTACAGAGATAACAATTCAACCTGTTGATTTGGCCCCCACTCACGGATGCTAATCTGTGAGTCAGCCAATACAAAAGACCAAATAGAACGTCCAAGTGAAGCACATACTGTCTGTAATACACAAAGGGTACTGGGCCTGCTCTCAGGTAGTAGGGGATCAAAGGGACAGTAGCTTTTTCTTGCCTACCACAGGGATTGAATGTTGTGAATCCACCCTCACATTCCCAAGAAACTTTACTTGGCAAGCAGTATGCTAAATTTTGTTGGGGTCCAACAGTCTGTTAATGGAGGTTTGATAATACCACTTCAGGTCTTTTGAGACTGAGGCTTCTGTCTTATCAACCAACATGACATCATCTGTACAGTACACTTTGGATATTAGAGGGCAGAGGCACCCTTGCAAAATCTTGACCTCCAACTGCTGGCAAATAGCGGGGGACTTTAGGAATCCCCTGGCAAATACTGCAAAAGTATATGAGGCCTTGGCACATGAATGTGAATTAGTCTTGGTCTCAGGTGTCAGTGGGTTAGAAAAGAAGTCTTGGCAATGTCCAAGACAGTGTGCCAAGTGACATCAAGCAATGGTTGCAGTTACAGCTGCAATGTCTGGAACAGAGGGGCTATTCCAGAACAACAACTGAATTCAGCTGGCAATAATTCACTGTAAATCTCTACTTCCCAGTAGCTTTTATCACTGGCCATGTAATAACATTTGTACTGAGATACTTGCATCTTTAACTATTCCCTCTGCCTATAAGTCCTGAATCAAGTCTGTGATTTATCGTTCTACTCCTGAGAACTATACTGTTTTTGTTGAACTACACAAGGGGGGAGAAGGAGGTGGATTTGGGAAGAACTTAATGTCCCACTAGCACTTCTCTACCTGCATCTCTACCTGAACAGGAGAATCCCTCTGGACTTTTTGATACATTCAGCAGGAGAAGCCACAAGATAGATAGATAGATAAATAGGTAGATAGACAGACAGACAGATAGATGGAAATAAATAGATAAATATAGTATATTAAGTTGGCCCAATGGGCTATATCTGCAATGGAACTTCTTTGAATAGAGGTCTTCCCTTCTCCAGTGTGAATTCCAACCCACTGAAACGTTATCAGCTGAACCTAGCCCTCCACACCACAAAGCTGGGTTTGTCAATTGTTATAGGTCTTGTATACCTATATCCAACAACCTTCCACATATATCCAACAAATTCCACAGAATTTCCCAATATGCTTCAGTGAGTATAGCCTTCAGGATAGGTAGACCTCAGTCACACCACAATCATCTTTCTCCTCAAAGTGCCTGAAGTTAGGGGAGGGAGGTCATGGAGAGAGAGTGGCTTTGTGCCAGGATTTGAGACACTTTTTTTATATATATTATTACAAGCAACTCAGCAGTGCACTCTGCTCAACCAAAAGAATCTCCAATGTTTATAACCCACCCAAAGCTCCATATCCCCCTTGCTGATGCCACTAATTCTGCCTTTGGAGAATCTGACTCTATAGTTACAGCCACATGGCCTTTCAGATAGGACTGTGGGGCTTCTTACCCCATTGTCATGATAACATGCCTTTCTCCTCTCACTTAGAGGAGAGTAACTAACAATCAGTGCAGCATTTAGGTAGCATGTTTCAATTCTATGGCCCACCATTCAACACCTAAACATTCATTAACGGATAAGACAGTGAGGGACCCTTACCCTTCCTCACCCATCTGCTACTTGGGTGAAAGCATTCAACTTCAAGATCTCAGGAATTATTTTAATATACCCTAATCCAGTCTTCAAAGCCCTCATACTTTCTTTTCCAGAAAGCCTGGTTTTGTTATAACCCCATTCCAGTCATCAAAATTGTCACAAACTGGGAAGTGTCTGAGATACATTTTACCATGCTTGCAAGCTAACAAGTTAGCCTGCCACAGTTTTGTAGATATTGGAAGAAGACACAATACTCCTGGCTCAGACACAAAGGACAGGTAGTAGTCATAACAAAGCAGAAGCCAGAGTGTCATCATTTTTGTGCCAGGTCCCTGAGTCCCAATTCCCATAAGTGACACAAAGAGGCTTAGAAATTTCTACATGTGCAGTGTGTTGCATTATAGGAGAGAAACTGCAAGCTTAGGGAACCTGAAACTTTTTATAATGCTCAGTAAGCCTGCCAAATTTAGCTACAAATAAAACAAAATGAGATATTTTATTATCCTGTACAGTAAGTAAACCTGACTTTTGCTCCAGAGGGAGACACTATCTCTGTATTCTAAGGATTTTCTCTACACAAACATCATTGAAATGCTAGTCTGGAACAAAGGAATTCAATGCCTCAGCTCTCAAGATTTGCAGAGGCATGAGAAACCCATGCAGACTTGCCTTTCTGCAAAGGCAAATTTTATTTTATCTTAGACTCTTTTTTAAAAAAATTATTTATTATTATTATTATTGTCTTACATTCTAAGATGTTGTTGCAGAGCACTTAGTGGGGAGGGGGAACGGGTAGGGGACAGGGTGGGAGGAGTGGGAAAGAGGTGGGTTGTGATCAAGGCCTATGGCATGCCCCTCATCTGGCAGGGGAGACGGGGGGTGGGGGGCTGTGGCTCGGTTGTTGCTGGGCTGGATGCTGATGTAATGGGGTTGGGAGCACAGCAGGGGCCCTCGGTCCCCCACCACTCTGGTTCAGGAGCCTGGGGCATTTCCAGCAGTGGCTCGGTGGTTTTCACTGCGCCAAAAACAAATTTTAAAATGTTTTTAACTGAATGCAAATGAAAACACCATATCAAAACAGACACAATTCAGCTAAAGCAATGCTTAGCAGGAAATTTATTGATTTGAGTGTTAATTTTTAAAAGGAAGAACATCCAAAATTGATCATCTAAGATTCTACCTTAAAAAGACAGAAAAAGAATAAAAATGAAAATTCAAGATATATGGAAGGAAGGAAATAACAGAGATCAGGGCAAAAGCAATGAGATAGAAATCAAAAAAACAATAGAGAAAATCCATGAAAACAAAAGTTTGTTCTTTCGAAAGATAAAAGATATATGCACACACACACATATATAGATATATACATATATTTTCTATATATACATATATCTATATATATGTTTTTAATATATATTTTAACTTTTAGCTAGCCCAAACGATAAAAAAAAGACAACACACAAATTACCAAAGTTGAGATTGAAATAGGGACATCAAAATGATCCTACAAGTATTAAAGGTTTATAATAGAATACGCTGAACAACTTTATACCAACAAATCAGAAAACTTATATGAAATGGACAAATTCTTAGAAAAATGCAAATTCACAAAACTTCCTCAAGGAGAAATAGATTTATATAAAGAAAACAAATTAACTTAGTAATTTAAAATTTTCCCACAAATTCAATCCAGGGTCCCCAATGCTTTTACTGATGAATTGTTTCAAACACGTAAGAAAGAAATGACATGCTCCTACACAAACTCAGAAAGTAGAAAAGGAAGGAACACTTCCCATCATATTTTATGGGACCAGTATTAACCTGATACAAAAGCCAGAATAATTCTTTTCACAAAGAAAGAAAATTACATATAAATATTCCTCATAAACACCAATGCAACAAACCTTAAAAACATTATTAAACTGAGTCCAGCAACATATAAAAAAGATTATATACCACGAACGAGTGAGATTTATCCCTGAATTAAGGTTGCTTTAACGTCAAAAATCAATTAATGTTTTGCACTATACTAATATATTAAGGACAAAAATCACATTACAATCATATGAGATTCATAAAAAGCATCCGACAAAATCCAACATTCATTCATGATACAAACAAAAAAAATATCAAAAAGAAGCAGAAATAGAAGTGAACTTTCCCATTTTGAGAAAGGACAGCTACAAAAAGCCTACTGATATCAGCCCTTCGTCTTCTCTAGAACTATAGTACTTATCCTTCTGAACAATCTATACAGTATAAATTTTACATCCATTATATAATTAGTGGCTTTTCTAATTTTTTTTTTCTTTTACAGATGCTGTTGCTGTCACCTGGGTAGACAGAGTATTCCCTTCCATGCAATGGGCCATTTCCATTGGTGTTGCTTCCTCCATATTTAGCTCCCTCAATTGTACTCTACTTGCAGCATCAAGGGTATTGTATATTGCAAGCCAGGAAGGTCAGCTACCTTTGATCCTCTCGACTCTTAATAGTCACTCCTGTCCAGCTGTAGCTGTGATTCATACACTCATCTTTGCCTCTCTTGTAATTATTCCTTCAGACTTAATCCTTTTAATAAACTATGTGGGATTCACAAACTGGATTCAACTTGGGCTAATGATGATGGGTTTACTTAAACTGAGATTCCAGGAGCCCAACCTACCCAGACCTTATAAGGTAAATCAAACTTCACCCTCCCCTGCCCACCAAAAAAATATCCTTCATCTTTCTAAAGGTCATTTTGTACTTTTAATACTCTTTTCTCATATCTACATGTGATATCTTTTCGGACCATTGTGAGCCCCTTTTAGAAATATTTGATCTAGACTATAAATTTTCTGTTTATTGGTCCATAAGCTTCTTAGAACATTTCCAATTTGAAATTGCAGGAGAGAACGTGCCAGCCTGGTCTTTGTTAAAAAAGGCAGAGGATCCTTAGGATCTCTTTATATTATAGCAAATACTACTAGTGAAATTAGAGTCACAAAGAGATCATATGTAGGGTGTATTGTGTTTGCACTAGATCTCCATGGAAGAGATCAACCAAGTCCAGGATAAAAAATTATTTGAGTGCTGTCTTAAGGGCATTACCTCAGATCACCTCCTAGAGGACCTGGGCTTGCCTAGTATTTCTCAAGCTTCTCAGTTCAAATGTCTATCAATTCATAAGCCTCTGCCTTTAATGGTCAATATAGAAGAGCCACATTCTAGATATACATGACAGAGTGTAATCTCAAATGCATTTATCTTTCAAAAGTTTACCTCAGAGCGCTGGCTGATTAGCTCAGTTGGTTAGAGCGCAGTGTTGTTTTTTTTTTTCCTTTTTGTCTTTTTTACTGACCGGTAACGGGATCGCAACCCTCGGTGTTGCGTCCGCACCGTGCTCAGCCAGTGAGCGGGAACCGGTCTCCACATGGGACCCGAACCCTCGGCGGGAGCACCGCAGCGCTCCCAAGCGGCGCACTCTCCAGTGCGCCACCGGGCCGGCCCGAGTGCAGTGTTTTAACACCAAGGTCAAGGGTTCAGATCCCTATACCAGCCAGCCACAAAAAAAAAAAAATTACCTCTGAGGCAGAATATGTAAGGAGAATTGCCTGAGAGATAAATGTGTTGATTCCTTAAACTACTATAACACCTCTCTGTATTAATTACATCTGAAATGCTTCATATAAGCCCATGGAACTATTTTTTTCTTCTAACTATCGGCTATAGCCCATCCACCTGTACTGTGAATTTAACCAAAATATTGCATTTAACCAAACAACCTCCAGCAACTCATTCTGTACTCACTGCAAGGAGATTAAATGATATATTTTTACACTATGCAACAATCTCTCTATATGTAGACCCACTGAAGAAAATTTTTTCTAATATCTGCACCGGGAATATTTGTGTTTCTTGGCAGTTTTTTTTTTTTTTTTTTTTTTTTTTACATATACCTGGACTTTTTTAAGATCATGCTTCGCTTTTCATATAGGCCTCTAGAAAGCTTAAAGCTAAATTAGTGGTTAGTCACTAACTTGTTAATAGGGCATATGGCAAGCATTCTAAAAAGTATATATAAAGCATATATTATTTCTATGTCCATAACTTCTTTGAAATAAGGTAGATTACAAACAATTCTTGTTTTATCAATGAATCATATTCTAAAAGCAGTCAAAGGGTTCCTTTTATTATCTACCTTGTAAGGCAAAAGGAAGTAGGTGAATATCCACAGGAATGCCTCGGCAGTACAGAAAGTTTCAGGAGGGTGTTAGAAGGTTAAAGAGAGAGGGAGGGAGGGGGAGAGAAGTGTGTGTGTGTGTGTGTGTGTGTGAGAGAGAGAGAGAGAGAGAGAGAGAGAAACATAGTTTATGGCTCAGATTTTCAAACTTGTGTAGAAAAGAATAATTTGGGGGTGTCTTTTATAAGTGCAAATTACTGTATCCCAATTGGGATTCTAATTCCTAGGATGAGGATCAGAAACTCACATTTTAAAATGTCTTCCTGGCGTTTTTCATTACAAATTTCCATACACTGCACTTTGAGAAGCACTAGCTTATGACTTTCTATTACCTTCTTAGTTGAAAAGACTAAAGAAGAAAAATAATTTTGCATCCAAGTCATTCAGTGATCCAATACATATGTACTAAGCAACTGCTGTGTGGGAGACACTAGTCTAAACACTCAAGAATATGTACATAAATCAGCCATTAATCCAGCCATTAATAACTTCCGAGTCTAATAGGCAAGAGGAGAGTATTACACAGACAGAGTAATACAAGCAAAATCAATAACATTTCATTATTGAGCATTTACTGCTTGCAAGTACTATATATATTATGTATAATATTAAAGAATCCATATATATAAGTGTATATATAATTAAATCGACTAAAGCATATATAAATGTGTACTTATATTCTTTAATTATCCAAACTACTTTGAAAGACAGGCATTGGTAAGCCTTATTTTAAGGGAATAGTGAGGATCAGGGAAAGTGAATCCAAACTCTATTATCGTTCTGTGTACAAAAAGTGTCTTATACACAGAGAATAAAAAAGGTTAAGGTACAAAAAATAAAATGTTGGAAAAATTTTATAGCTAAAATGTGCTTTATTCTAATAGTATGGAATATTTCAGAATGTCTTCATCTAAAAGATTTGAGTGAGCAGGTGGCATAGATGATGAAAGTTTAGGGGTCCAGCAAAATGATGGAACGATTAAGTAAGTCTTCAGTGCTGCTTTTTCACACTCCTACAGATATCCTCAGAAGATTGTTTTCTCTTATATCAAACTGAGAAACTTGTAAATAGTTTTTATCCTTTAAACAAACACAGTATTGAAGAAATGCTTGTAGATTTTTTTAAAATCTTATGCATTATTATTTTTTATAACTTACAAGTTCAATCTAATACTAATTTGTTTTTCTTCTCAGGTGCGTTTGCCGTTTATATTTGGAAGCATGGCCATGTCTTTGTTCTTAGTTTTGACACCTATGATCAAATCTCCTAAAATGCACTATTTCTATGTTCTTCTTTTTATTCTCAGTGGACTTTTGTTTTATCTGCCTTTTGTTCACCTTAATTTAGATTCTACATATTTCAACAAGATAACTTGCTTTTTACAACTGCTATTGAATGTTTCACCCACTGATGACATTAATGAATGTATTTCAGCAGAAGAAACATTACAGAAAAATCCACCTGAAATTGCAGCCAAAAAAGTATAAATTATGCATATTTGGCAAGCGATTGATTTATTAAAAGCATCTTTCTTCTTCAACTAGTGTAATTTTCTTTATGTGTATGTTTACACTTGGAACATATGTAAAACACAAGCACAAGAAATGTAATAACCAAAATATTTACATTTTAACTCTCCTTGTCATTGAAGCCCACCTTCCTGAGTGAAGCATGCTGAATCAAATCCCCCAAGATTGGGGTAGATGTCTCTTTCTTGTGAGCTATAGCTTCTGAACTTATTATATCATAGTCCATACACTTTTTTTTTTTTGTCTTCACACAAAAAAGCAAATTTATTGGCTCAAATAAATGAAAGTTATGGAGTTGAATATCAGCTTGATCTAGTGGCTTACCAGTCACCAAGACTCTGGCTTATTTCTGCCTTTCTGATTGAGTTGTCCACTTTATCTTCAGCCTAAGGATGCCTCTCTCATGATCAACAGATGGGTTTCAGGACAGCTGGCCTCAATCCTGCACATGTTCCTGAAGCCGCTTCTGTTGCCACAAGTTGAGACATTGATTGCAGCTGAATACAAATCAGCTTCTCTGAACCCAACCAGAAACTAAAGGCTGTTTAAAAGGGATGAGGTGGGGATTGACAACAGGAAATCAGTTGCTGAAAAAACAAACAATACCCATCACAGAATTTATGTGAGTACAAAAACTATAAATGGAGAAATCCAGCCGGTTTGCAACAAAAAAAAACACAACAGAGCAACACAGCTTAGACATATAGTGCAGAGCATTTGGGTGAAGATACATAACTGTTGAATTAAGAACTTCCTATAGCACCAGTCTCAGTAGGGCCCACACCTATTAAGTAAGGTGAACACGCATTTCAGCTAGTACAGTGTAGGACCAGTTCGTGCCTGTTACACTCCTTTCACATTTAAAAGATATCCAGTTTTATGGCAAATTATACGATCATCTTATTGTTATGAACCTACATTTTTTAATCTTTTTTTTACTGAATCAAAATCAATATCACTAGCATATATATTGTTACAAATTGTAATTATTCTTTATGCCCCTTGTGAACCTCTCCCCTTCCCCCATTCCCTCCCCCTCCCCCCTCTAATTGCCCTAGATTTCTTCTCTCCTTCTGAAAGAGTAATAGTTACTCTGTTAACTTGTTGCCTAGATGATCTGTCCAATGCTGAGAGATGTGATCAGGTACCCCAATATTATCATAGAGCAGATGCTTCTTCTGTCACTCTGAAATGGGTTTTGTCGAAAGAGACATCCTCTTCTTTTCTTTTTCTCTGCTGGTGACGCTTCTTGTGTGAATGCACTCCAGTGGTTGGAAGACCATCTGCGTGGTGGCTGTGGCATCTAGCCGCTTTTGCAGCAGCCATGGTTATTATGGTGGCTGTGATGGGCCACCCATATGGATGTGCTGTTTATGGCATTCTCCTTGGCACTGACAGTATGCCTGGTTGTGGGGTGTGTTTCGTCCCCTTCTCCATGCCTCTGGTCCCTGGGCAGGCCCCAAGGTGCTGACGCCATGTGCCTGGTTGTGGGAGAGGGGTCCGGTCCCCTTCTCCATGTCCTAGGTCCCTGGGCAGGCCCTGGGATACTGGTGCAGTGTGCCTGGTTGTGGGAGGAGGGTCCGGTCCCCTTCTCCATATGTCGGGTACCCAGGTGGGCCCCAAGGTTCTGGCGTTTTGTGCCTGGTGTGGGAAGAGAGTCCAGTCCCCTTCCACATGTCTCTGAGCCAGATGGGCCCCAAGGTGCTGGCACAGTATCCCTGGTTGTGGGAGAGAGGTTGAGTCCTCTTCTCCTTGCCTCGGGTCCCTGGGAGGGCCCCGAGGTACTGGCATGGTGTACCTTGTTGTGGGAGGAGGGTCTGGTCCCCTTCTCCATGCCCTGGGTCCCTGGGTGGGCTCCGAGGTGCTGGCATGTTGTGCCTGGTTGTGGGAGGGAGATTCAGTCCCCGACTCCATACCCTGGGTCCCTGGGTAGGCCCCAAGGCTCTGGCTCACTGTGCCTGGTTGTGGGAGGGTGGTCCAGTCCCCTTCTCCATGCCCTGGGTCCCTGGGTGGGTCCCGAGGTGCTGGCATGGTGTGCCTGGTTGTGGGAGAGAGGTCCGGTTCCCTTCTCCATGCCCTGGGACCATGGGCAGGCCCCGAGGCGCTGGCTTGGTGTGCCTTGTTGTGGGAGTGAGGTCTGATCCCCTCCTCCTTGCCCCGGGTCCCTGGGTGGGCTCCAAGCTGCTGGCATGTTGTGCCTGATTATGGGACAGAGGTCCAGTCCACTTCTCCATGACCCAGGTCCCCGGGTGGGCCCTGAAGCGCTGGCTCAGTGTGCCTGGTTGTGGGAGGGTGGTCCAGTCCCCTTCTCCATGCCTCCAGTGTCCAGGCAGGCCCTGAGGCACTGGTGCAGTGTGCCTGGTTGTGGGAGAGAGGTCCAGTCCCCTTCTCTATGCCCTGGGTCCCTGAGTGGACTCCTAGTTGCTGGCATGTTGTGCCTGGTTGTGGGAGGGAGGTCCAGTCCCCTATAATGTTTTATTTTTTTATTGACAAATAAAATTATATGTTTATCATATACAACATGATGTTTTAAAATATGCATACATTGTGAAATGGCTAAATTGAGCTAGTTAACATATACATTACTTCACATAGTCATCATTTTTGTGGTAAGAACACTTAAAATTTACTCTTAGCATTTTTCAAGAATATAATATATTATTTTTTATATAGTCTCCATGTTGTACAATATATCTCTTAAACTTATTCCTCCTATCTAACTGAAACTTTGGATCTTTTGATCAACATTTCCCCAACACCAGCCCCATCTCCACCACCACCACCCCAGCCCCTGGTAACTGTCATTTTACTCTACTTCTATGAGTTCAACATCTTTTAGATTTCACATATAAGTGAGATCATGCAGTATTTGTTTTTCTGTGCCTGCCTTATTTAACTTAGCTTAATGTCCTCCAGGTTCATCCATGTTGTCACAAATGACAAGATTTCCTTCATTTTCAAGGCTGAATAGTATTCCATTGTGTATATACACCACATTTTTTTAATCTATTCATCTGTTGATAGACACTTACGTTGATTCCATTTCTTGGCTATTGTGAATAATACTACAGTGAGCTTGGGAGTGCAGATAGAAAGTCTAGTTCTATTTTTATTTTTTGAAGAACTTCCATAATGTTTTTTATAACGGCTGTACTAATTTACATTCTCACCAACAGTGTGCAAGAGTTCCCTTTTCTCCATAGTCTTGCCAACACTTGCTATCCTTTGTCCTTTTGATAATAGCCATTCTAACAAGTGTGAGAGGCTGTCTCATTGTGGTTTTAATTTGCATTTCCCTGATGATTAGTGATGTTGTGCACACACACTTTTTTAATTGTCTAACTAGTGGCTTTTTTTCCTCCAAAGATGGTGAGCTCCTCTAAAGGAGGGCTCATTGCTTATTCATCTTTGTATTCTCAGCCCCAGGACAGTATGAGTGTAATATATATACATATCCAAGAAAATAATGCCCAAATACAAAAATGAATGAGCCAATGAATGAATGAATGGTAAGGGGAAAGCTGCATAGGTACCATCTCCCTTAATACTCTACCTAGCTTGGATTCTTGGGAGCATCTAGCACCTCAGAAATATCCCATTATTGACTGAAGCTTTATGTTTTGGCATGACTGAGGCTGGAATGCTATATGCAGTTAATACCAAAAGAAAAGTCTACACTAGCTTTCACCTATTATTCATTCTTTTTCACACCTTATTTGACCTTTCTAAAGGTGTTTTATCAATATTATCCTATTAGTGTCAACATATATGGATTCATTTGTATTTATCAAACTATGCAATGCTAACCAGACACTATTTCTAAGGATAATGAGAAGCCACTTTTAGAAAGAGCATTGAAAGTATTAATAAAAGACAAAAGTAAAATCCTTGAGAAGGCAAATGGGTATTAGAGGCCCTAGGTTGAGAAAAACTGTGGACAACTGAGAATAAAATTGGATCTAGCATATATTCTAAGACTAACGTACTATAGGAAAAATACACAAAGAGGCTTGTGCTTACTGTGTATGACTAATAAATCAGAGCCCATCTCTTCCTTTCAAATGTCTCAATTATATTTTTGGCAAAATGTACATGGCAAAGAAGTTTGCAAATAGCAGGTTTCTGAAGGGCAGATATCCCTTCTAGAATCCAGGCCTCTAAGTTAAAATTTTTATATTTTGTGTCCTAATATGTGATCTATCCTGGAGAATGATCCATGTGCTGATGAGAAGAAAGAATATTCTGAGGTTGTTGGATGGAATGTTCCGTAGATATCTGCCAAGTCCAATTGGTCTAGAGTATTGTTAAGATCTTGTGTTTCTCTGCTAATTCTTTGCCTAGATGATCTGTCCAATATTGACAGTGGGCTGTTCAGGTCCCCGGCTATTATGGTATTAGTGTCTATTTCCTTTTTTAGGTCTAATAGAGTTGGTTTTATAAATCTGGGTGCTCCAACATTGGGTGCATA